ATATTTGAATGTATTTTAACTAGTTTATATGTATCTTAACTCTGTTTTTTAAACTTTTTAAAGTTGGTTTAATGAGGTATGTCTGGTAGGGAGGTTTATTGTAATAGTTTTATAATGTATTTTATCATGTATGTTTTAAATAGCAGGCTTGATAGCCCTAGTAAGGGCAGAAAGGCAGGATATAAATTTTGTAAATAAAATATAACAAGATTGTGGCATATTGAATGTATAACAGAGTTTGCCTTGGGGGAGCTGGTAAGTCTTTACTGGGTTTGTGATAGAAATTGTCTTATACATGGCCATTGCAAAATTGCATCATGTGTCTAGAAAGTTAATGTGCATGGATTGACTGTGGTTTCCTTCTCTGTTGCTCTCTTCCTCTAACACTGGTTTTATATCATCCATAACATTCTTAGAGGATATATTTGGAGCTGGGGTTTCATCTTTGTCCACAAGCGTCCCATTGTGTCCGCAAATGGCCTAGAGTAGGGGTTTCTTGTGGGCACCACTGGAATTCTGACATAGTAGGGTGGGAGCAGCCACAAAACGGCTGCTGCAGGAGGTGGAACCAGCCACAAAATCACTACCACAGTGAAGATCCTTGTGCTTATGGTCAATGTTCCCTCTAAGCTGTGGGGTCTTGTGAGCAAATATTCTACTTTGTGAGCTGCTGGCATTAAAGTGGTGAGCAAGAAATTTGGCTACTGCATCAATGAGTTAGCTCTGGAGCCATCCCTTCCTGAGCGAAGACAAAAATGTGTGAGCCGGAGGCTAAAAAACTGTGAGCTAGCTCACACTAACTCAGCTTATGGTGGCAGCTGCTGCCAAAGCAAAGTTAAAAATTCCCACCCAGTCCCACCTACTTTCTAAAAACACTTGGCCTAGAGAATATTTCTTTGTAAAGCTGCAAATGGATATCTAGGGACTGGCTCCCTGGCTCCTCTGAAAGACAGCCTTCACCTCAGAGAGTACTGGCTGGTTTTGTCACCTCTGGAGCCTTTCAATGTCTCTATGGAAGCAGAAAAATAATATTATGAATTTCCCTTCCTCACATCACTTCAGAAATGATGTGGCTACTGTTATCCTCTTATCACTGTCATAAAAATTCTAATTTAACACCATCACAGGGTCACAGGTGTGTACATTTGGGTTGAAGATCCCTTCTATTAAAACAAGAACATTGATTAGCATGATGTCACCAGGCAGGCTTATAATTATCATTATGGGGGAATATTCTGTGATCATTTAAAGCAGCTTTGCTGAATACTAAGCATGTATCTGAAGCTATCTGGACTGTCTGAGGATGTAAATGTTCTCTGATGCTACTGAGAACTTTACACTGATACTGTATTTGCAAAGAGATTTTTTTTTACTAGAGATTTTTTAAAACTGTTTGTTTGTGTGATTTATACCCTGATCCTATGAAGTTATGCATGCATAAGTCCATTGATTTCAGTTGCCTTACACATGCCTGACTCTGCATAAGATGGGACTATAATTCTGATCATTCTATCTTCTCTTGAAAGCAATTAATGGTTTAATCTATTTTCAAGGCAAAAAAATGAATCAGGCTTTTAAAGCCTTGTCCTCTCCATAACTAGCTGTGCCTTCATCCATTGATTTCAATGAGATTAGGTGTGTACTTGAGCTTTTGTTGTTTCAAACAGGCCAAATGACAGCCTTTTGAATGGGTAGGGACCATTTTAATACATGCTTTCTCTTTCATATCTTCATTTCAACATACTTTGTATCATTTTCTGCAGGGTAAAGCTATGCTTTCTGGAAGTGATACTTTCTGAAGAGCATATAAACATACTAGCACATTATTTAGTATTGATCTGTACTGTAATTTTTAATAGGTATTGATTTTCTTTGCCCTGTCAGGAGTGTTAAGGTGACCGTTACAATACTTGCATTTTAGAATGCCACATGCCCCTTATCAGTGAGGTAATTAAGTGTTAGCTGAGGATTGGAACAAGACTTTCTTTTGTTTTTTGTCTTATACAGTTATTTAGCTTACAGGAGGCTAAATACTTGAGAGCCAGTGTGATGTAATGATGCAAGGATGTCAAACGTAAGGCCCATGAGCAACTGGTGCAAGAGAGGGAATAGGAGGCTGTTGGGGGGGGGGGCAGAGTCACTCCAATTATAGCTTCAGCACGGCAGAACAACCTCATCTGCAGCAGTTAAGTACTCTTCACTTGGTAAGTTGGGAGCTGCATTAATACCTCTCCATTTGGCCTGAAGCTCTGGAGATGCTGTCCCGGATGGCCTCAGGTGTAAAGTACTGGGTTCGCACATGGAGACTCGGACTACGACATGCTAACTAGACGCATTTATTGTACTTCACAACAAGAGAACACATACTGCCCGGCAAGGGCCAACTATATACACTCCACCTGGGCACACCCACAGTTCCATTGGGGGGTTTGAATTTCCCTCCAAGGTCCTATTGGAGGACTCAGGGTGATCTAGGATCCTTGGTCCCTATTGTGTTTGGAACCAAGCTAAGGACAGGGGCCACAGACCCCTACTGGCGGTCCACGGACATAACACCCCTCCCCCC